CTACATAAGATCCTATTCCACTTCCAGGTGAGGGTTCAGCATGCAGTACTGTCAGACTCCGTCTTGTCAGTGGCCACTGATAGAGGAACTGATTCAGACAGCCATCACTAATGACTTTAAGCCCCTTCTGTTAGGTGAAATTTGAGGTGTTTTCAGAGTTCTTCAAGGCTGGCATATCCACATGCTGTGCTTCATGGGGCCATGGGGTAGTTGCGGAGAGGAAGGGGGCTGGAGAGCCCTGTCTCCTCTTAGACATGAGACCCTCTGTAGCTTACAAAGATAGGTGGGTTTCATTTGTTGAACTTGCACAGCTGTTTGGTTCCACTCACAAATCGTCAGCGGGTTTCCCACTTGGTACCAGAAATCGGTCTGCTTTCCTCTGTGCCCCTCCACCCCTCCACCCCCAGTGCCCTTTCCTCTCTCCTTCCGTCCGCACTGGATGGGGCTCAAATTCCTCACTGGCAGCCTGGAGAAGCTTTACTCCCTGGGGCAGCTGTAGGGACTGAATGGGCTGGTGAGATATAATCCCTCTGAGCAGAGCCTGCCCCCAGGACGGGACCCAGGAAGTGACAGCCCTTCTGTAACCTATGCAGAAAGGAGCCTTGTCCCTTCCCACAGCGCCTTGGTGTGGTCCCTCCTTGTTAGAGCTGCTTGCCCTCGTGATCTGGCCATGTCGCTTAGATGATTTATTCTCTTCCCCATTTGAATCCACTGACCAAAAATACATAGACGATGAACGTTTGTGCATTCATCATCGTTCTTAAATACTAGAGCCTTAAAGGAATAAAAAGACAGTGAGTGTAAGATTGTCCTGAGAACACTTGCTAAAGTACTTAATGCATTTTTACCATTGTTACATGGCTATATACTTATAACTCTGTGTGCAGTGTGTAGATCTGTCTGTTGCTGATTTTTAAGATTTCCCTATACTTTGTGACATTCCAAGATGAAAACTCTTTTCTGCCGGGACCTTGGAGAAGCGGCCCCTGCCGAATCTATAGAGAAAGGTTTGATCCCGGCTTACGGCTCACTCAGTTCTCATGATTGTTTTCCTAACTCATGACGTCAGCCAAGTTAACATGTCCCTAAGACACCGAAATGTGTGTACACGTATGTGCTCACCTGGCATGGGTATGTGGGCCAGAGGCAGAGCTCAGGAGCCCTCCTCACTTGTTCTCCACTTTCCTTCTTGAGGAAGCGTCTTTCACTGAACCTGGAGCTCTCTGTTTTCTCTAGATAAATGTGCTGACCAGCAGAGCCCCAGGCTTTGACTGTTTCTGCCTCCTTCTGTGGGATCAAAGGTGCTTACTGACACACCCAGCTTTTACATGGGTGCTAGGAAGCCAGATTCAGGGGCTTGTGTTTATGCAGCGAGTGCTTTACCCACTGAGCCGTCTCCTCAGCCACACATTACATTTTTTTACTTTCTTTCTCACATTAAATAATTTGGATTACTGCCACAACAACTAGCTGGTAAGCATTTGTAAGAGAGCAAGTAACAGGGAAGAGCCTGTTCCCTGTTACAGTTCCCTGGCAACTGTAGGGTCGTGCCATGGAAGTCACGGGGGCATTCAAGCATGCAGCAAAGGAGCCCTGGCTTCAACTATAAGTGTAGGATGAGTGAGGACCATTCTATAGGACTGAACTCTCAGTGAGTGTGTCTGTTAACAGGAAGTCCCTCCTTGCAGCTGCTCAGCCTTCAGGTTTCTGTATGTGAGCAGTTAACAAAGAGCAGCAGGGATGGAGGGGGCTGAGCTTGGAATGGTACATCTACAAGCCACAGAGTCCCAGCACTTCCAGCCACGCCAGAAGCTAAGGATATCAGTGGGGCCACCTTCACTCCGCACCCACAGCCTGCAGAACTAAGAAAGAACCACTAGCCTATGGGTTCTGGGCAGCTCCAGAGTGGGGAGTTCAGGGAACTACTAACCCACGGACTAGATGTTTCTCATTATCATGCCCCAGAGTGCCTTAAAATCCAGTGGGAAACTGAACAGGAAGTTACTCTGAACAAACCAAGCACTAAGTAAATAAATGCAATTTTTAAAATTAAAGTGTGTGTGTGTGTGTGAGTGTGTGAATGTGTGTTTGAAGCAAAGGGCCCTGAAGTTTAGAAATGTTTCTAAATTTACAGTGGGCTGGAATCTGACATGGCAGAATTAGTGCCCTTGAAAAAGTGTTGCTTAGCTCCAGATTGAACCTGAGACGTTGTAGGGGACCGAGGGACAGAATCCTATAAAAGGTGAGATGTGCTAACAGAATTAGCCAGTAGACTGTCATCCAGTATGAACGATCTCAAATTGGCTCACTGAAGTCCAGTCTCAGAGCATCCTGCCCGGCAGACCTAGGTTTGGGCAGAGGAAATGAAACCTAGTTGTTTGCTATGAGATTTACAATAGACCTGCCATCGCAGGAAGTGGTGAAAAGTTGATTGATCACTCAAGACACAGCTCTACAACGAGAAACAGGATGTACGGTTTCATTTATGTGATCTCGCCCCCCTGTTGTATTGTGGGCTCTTTTTGAACTTTGGCTATTTAATGGGCTGTGGGTTCTTTTTAACACCGCCACCCCAAAGAACGCAGTCACCGAATACAAAGTCATTAGAGGACTGATGCCAGTTTAGCTGTGTCCTAGGAGTGTGCTTATAGCGGCTCCTTTTACACTTTCCCTCTAGTTAATTTGCCAGAACTTGTCAACAACCTATAATTTTAAAAGATCCTCCAAATGGGATACTATGTCACTGTACAAAGAATAAACTATTTTAACAGTTTTGTGATAGATTACAATTGTAGCAACGTTTAAGAAATCTAGTTTGGAGTGTGATTTTATGATCGCCTTGGCAAGTCTCTTAAGTACTGATTCTCTTCACTAACAAACGCATTCTTAGCATGTGACATGCTCCTCATTTACACATAAAAGACATGTAACTGGGGCTGGAGAGATGGCTCAGTGGTTAAGAGCATTGCCTGCTCTTCCAAAGGTCATGAGTTCAATTCCCAGCAACCACATGGTGGCTCACAACCATCTGTAATGAGATTTAGTGCCCTCTTCTGGCCTGCCGACACACACAGAATATTGTATACATAATAAATAAATAAATATTTTTAAAAAAAAAGACATGTAACTGCACCAGGACCTAGTGTGTGTTCACTAAGAATATCAGAATGGCTGGCACTTGTAAGAAGCTGGCTATTTAATGTCATTGACAAAGCTTTTTTGACGTGGACTAGCCAGTTCTGCTTTGAATGCGACAAAAAGAGTCACCAGCTCCCTTAGACAGCCTAATTTTTGAAATGGTGGTACCATTACAGAGATAGATTCTAGAATTTACAAGGAATGGCAAAGTAAAACCAATATTAATTTTGCCTGTGCTTGAAAGAACAAAATGGCTGCCCTGACATGACTTGTTTTTTCTCCACAAATAATGTCCCCATTTTTTCTTTTATCTGTAGTGATCCCCATTTTTATTCCTCCAACTCTTATATCAAAGTAGCCCATGCTATTTTGAAGTTATAATTACTTTTTATCTCTGCACCGGGGAAGGAGGGGTGGAATCCAGAATGACACTTGTATAGACTGCAGAGTGTCTGTTAGAACCCAGTGCTAACAGGATACTAGCCAGCCTGAGCTAGTGAATGTGGGACTATAGGAGCTAAAAGCTGAGCATGGTAGGGTACACTTCTAACCCACCACTCAGGAGCTAGAGACAGGAGGGTAGTGAACTTGAGGCTAAATAAGTGTGAAACCACCTTGAGTTGTATAACAGGACCATTTATCAAGAAACAAGGATCACAGTTGTAGCTCATTGTTAGAGTTTATCTAGCATGTATAAGGCTGTGGGTTTAATCCCCAGGAAATTCTTCCCCCTTAAAAAAAAAAAAGAAAGAAAGAAAAAAGAAAAGCCATCTTAGTGATGGGTCAAATGGACACATGATTTTAAAGTAAGATACTTTTTCTGGAAAAATAAAGGTTTCCATAGGTGATCATAGGGACAGGTGTCATTTGGATTACTTGACGCGTTCCCAGCTGTGCTTTGTGTGTACTGTGTAGTGGTGAAAGTCCAGCTGCAGGCTGGCCCTTTGCCGAGTCATTAGCTTACTCCACTGGCTTGTCTTGACTCCTCTCTACCTTGGCAGGCCTTTCCCCTTGCCTAGCTCTCTGGAGATGCCCACTGAAGCGCTGGACTTTCCTCTGTCAGTGATGCTGCCGCCCTCACTCTGCCCATCCTCGGGATCTGCTCCACCGTGTCTGTCAGTGTGGAAGCTCATGGGCACGCTGACAGTTCTGAGGGAGGGGCTGGGAAACATGCAGCTCCTCCACGGGAGTGCTCTCTGTTCACTTCAGCTCTTCTGAAACGAGGCTACATTTGTTTGTTTGTTTGTTGTTTGAGCCTGTGTAGCACAGGACATCTTGCAGGAGTCACTTCTTACACCCTGTGTATCTGGAGGATGGTACTCAGGTCATCTGGCTTGCCGATGGGTGTCTTTACTCACTGAACCATCTCACCAGCCCCGAAGTTTGAACATTTTTAATTAGCGGGTATTGCTTTCCTCGTTGATTTAACACGAAGCAACACTAAGGCTTCATCATGCTTGTGTCATTTGTCCCGTTTTCTGTTGGATTGTTATGTCTTAGAATTATGTATGCTTTCCAAAACTTCCTCTGGATTAGGCCCTCGTCTGTGATGCAAGTTGGACATATTTTCCCACCTTAGCACTAGCCCTTTGACCTAGTTTTGTTGGATTTGGGGGTTTCCCTTAGTTCCCATAGCTTCTGTCCTTGGGTGGGAGAAGGCTATCTGCATTCTGAAGTCATAGAAAATCTGCCTGCCTCCACTGCTTGTCCGCCTTCTCTTCCTCTCACACATACCTGGGACTTATGTTTGGGGTTTGCCCTAGTGCCGTGTGAGGGCACCAGCTTCGTGATGTTTTATTTCCTGTTGTCATTAGTCTGATTCATAAGCACACCTAATTTTTCTTCTTACTCTAATTTTCAAGGTCCAAAAAGTTGACTGCCCTTGCGGACGCCTTGAAAGCAGTCTCCCTCAGCAAGGCCCAGCTGGGACTGGAGCTGCAAGAACTGGAAGCTGCCGCACTTCTTGTGCAGGAGGAAGAAGCTGCTGGAAAGGCAGCTCCGTGCGGCCCCGGGCAGCCGGCTGCAGGCTCCAGTCCTGAGCCCAGTGACTCGGATAGCACCACATCGTCTGACACGGAAGACTCAGCTTCAGAGCAAGAGGAGCTTGTTGGACCTCAGGCCTCACTGCTCACTTCTCTGGAAGCAGACAGCACCCTGCTCATTCAGGATAGAGAGCTTTGCAGACACGGGGCCAGCCAGGGGTGTGACATCAGTCAAGGGCAGACACTGGTCTCTGCCCGGGCTCCTCTGATAGAGGAAGTTGGAGAAGATCTGAGGACCGTGCTTCAGGTTTCCACACCTGGTGATGATGCTGGGAGCCACAGCTGTATGCAGGATGGAGAGGGGAGGGGACAAGAGCCTCGTGATTGACTCAATGGTTGGCTCGTTAGTGGCTGCTCTCATGTAGGCATGGACTTTCTCATTTCCACTGTGTACTTTTTCCCTTGTCTATAGAGGATAGTGCTTTTTAGTGAGCTAACAGTTATACCTTTAATTTTTATACCTTACAACTTAAAAAATAAAACCTAAAGGATTCTTTCCAAGGTGCAAGTAATATTTTAAAATGAAGACCAAAGTTCTACTAGGAAAAGGTCTAGACAGTGATTCCCAACCTCCCTACTGCTGCGACCCTCATGTAGTCCTGTGCGTTGTGGTGACCCCAGCCATGAAACTTTTCTGTTGCTACTTCATTACTGTAATTTTGCTACTGTTCTGAATCGCAGAATAAATACCTGATATGCATTCTACCTGCTCTTCAGCCCCAAAGGGGTCGAGACCCATAGGTTGAGAAGTGCTGCTCTAGCCGTAGCGGCACAGCTGACAGGCAGCACTCACATTTCAGCTGTGCACTGGGCGAGATACTAACGTGAGCACACCGGTGAAATGCTCACTGCGACCAGGGTGGTGAATTTCCCCCTCAGCTCCAGCTGTCTTTGGACCATTTGACATCCTTTCTCCCAGCCAGATGCCACCCACCTGTGTCCCCTGAGCGACATCCCGGAGCGCCCACTGATCTGCTGTGTCATAGCCCGGTAGCTTGCACTGCCTGCACCGCACAGAAAGCAGAGCATGCAGTGTGCTCCTTGCTCGGGCTCCTCTCACATAATTGCTGAGATCGATGTGTGTGCCGTTGTATGCCGAGTCTCATGTGTCGTCTTCTCAGTGCGGAGACCGTTTCTTGGGATGGATTTGTCCATTCACCCGCTGTTCAACTTGTGAGTTGCTGCCAGTGTTTGGACTCTGAATAAAGCCATGTGAGCATTTGGGTACAAGTCTCTGTGTGCATACATGTTTCCTTTATCCTAGGTAAATATCGGTATGGCATCGCTGAGTGTGTGGTAAGGACATGTTTAATATTTTACCAGATTGTGGAATTGTTTTCTCTCATAGCTTGGAAGGACCAGTTTACACCAGTAGTAGGTAAGTGTTCTTATTTTCTCCATGCTCAATGCTACTGGGAATTTTCATTATTTTTACTTTTGCTTATTTAGTTACTGTGCATGTATGTGTGCATGTGTTTAGTTACTGTGTGTGTGTATGTGTGTGTGTTTAGTTACTATGCATATGTGCATGTGTGTGTTTGAAATTGGAGCTCAGAGGACAACTTTCAGGAGTCAGTTTTTGCCTTCCACCTTATGGATTCCAAAGATGGAACCTGGATCATCAGACTTGGTGCCAAGCACCCTTACCCTGAGCCATCTTGCCAGCCCTCTTAGTGTTTACCATTCCAACAGGTGTGGAGTCAAAGCCCGATTGTGATCGCTGTTTACTGATTCAAGATTTACTGTGTTGAGCCTTGTGGTGGTGCCGCGCATCTTTAATCCTAGCACTCGGGAGGCAGAGGCAGGCAGATCTCTTACTTTGAGGCCAGCCCGGTCTACAGAGTGAGTTCCAGGACAGCCAGGTATACACAGAGAACTCTTGTCTCGAAGAAACAAAAACAAAAATAAAAGGTTTATTGAGTTGAGCCTCTTTTCACAAACTTATGTGTTACATATCCTCCATAAGTGTCCAAATCTTTTGCCAAATTTGAAGGGTACTTTCTTACTTTTTAGTTTGAGAGTTCTTTATAAAGGTTTGCATACAAGTTCTCATGAATCATGTGTTCCTGCTTTTTCACATGCCTTACTGTCTTTGATCAACTGGCAAACTCTGGATTTTATCTTGCCGGCTGAATGGGTTTGCATTCCTACAAATATTTTTTATCTTTCTTTAGGGATTTAGCTAAGTGACTTGTACTGGTTTGGATCTGGCTTCTGTATTTGTTCCTTCTAGGGCAGAGCCCAGTGTTTATATTCCTGAGAGTAGCCTTTCAGTGTCTGTGTGTCTGTTTGCCTATCTCTCCACCCTGCCCCCTTACTTTTTGCATAGCTATGACCAGATACCTGGCTGAACCAACTTAGGAAAGAAAGATTCATTTCAGCTCATAATTTCAAAAAGATTTCCATCCTTTTTGACGGGAGAGACATGGGGTGGGAATGGTTCCGTCTGTGAAGGTGGGAAATTTTGAGGGTGGCTTGTGCACGTGGTGGCAAGCAGAAGAAACAGACCAACACCAAAAGCAAAGACCTAGCTCTGGCGACCTGCTTCCTCAGCCAGACCCACTGCAGTAGCTCCACAGATGTCAAGGTACTGCCACTTTGGGGGGTAACGGGAAGGAATTATTCAAAACATAAGACTGGAGACCTTTCAGACTGGAATCGCCATGCTGTCCTGCTCTTTGACCTCCCCCCCCCCCATAGGCGACAGCAGCTGCCTTGGTTGGAAAGCTGTCTGTCTCCTGTGCTCCACACTTCTCTGTGCTCTGCCTGGATTGTCCCTTCTGCACAGTGAGGCGGTTTTAGAGCTCACCTGGTCTGTTTCCTGTCTTTCATCTCCTGATGGTGGGAAATCATGGCTTCATGCATCCTCCCATTTTTCTCTTATGCTATTCCCTGTTACTCCATCTGGAGTGGAAACGGTCGCAGTTGTATGCGTTTCCCAGCTTGCAGGCCATTTGCTGGGGAAGTGGGGCTGGGTCAGGTCTTGTCACTCCTCGACACCACTACTGTCTTCTCAGTGCTCCGGAGACACACGGTGAGCGAGTGAACAAGTGAAGGAAACTGATTGGCTTTGGGTGAAAATGAAATGAAACCCGATCCGCGTTCGTTCATTCGTCTCAGCACTTTTTATTCCAAGACTGAATTAGAACGAGGGAAAGGATTTGTATCTCTCATCTAAATTCCGGTTGTATTAACATGTTAGTTGGGGTGACTGTGCTGTTTGACATGCGTGTTAACTCCTCAACACTGTAACGGCCTGGCCTGGGTGTGTTGGAGCCTTTTCTCAGGCTCCCTGGAGAGCTTCAGAATTTCTGTGACCATGGCAAATGCAGTTCTCCTCAGCAGCATGTTACCTGAGGCCGCTTCAAAAGGGCTTTGGATCTATTTACTACAAGTTGAACAAATCCTCTCTTGTCTAAATGTTTAAAGCCGTAGACATTTTGTTCCCTTCATCAGTTTCTGTCCCTTAGAGTCTGGATAGGATTGACTTTCGTGAGAATATCTTGGAAAAACTGCTTTCCTTAAAGATATGCGAACATGATCCTCCTGACCTTCTTAAAGCCAAGGGGCGCTGTGAACTCTCCTGAGTATTAGCGATGTCATGTGTGAGCGCCACGGCTTCAGGCTCCTGAATTTCCTTTGTCCACCGGGCTTAAAACTCACGGAGCATGCCACCTGGCCTTTGTTTAAGGCGATTAAGAACACTCTTGCCCCACACCTGCAGCCAAGAACACCCCTCAAAGGGGTTGCGTTTGGGGGTTTTATGCTAAACAACTTGCCAGGCAACTTTAGGGACCTCCTGTAACCGTAGGGGTTTCCTCAGAATGATGGATGCTGAGAGGGAAGGCAGGCTGAGGAAAGAACCAGAAGACACCACAGTACTCCCTAATCACAGCACAGTGAGCTTTGACTCACTGAACTTGGTGAGACTTGGAATTGAGTTCCAGAACCTTGCCCTGGAGGGTTATGTCAAAGCACCAAGACTTTCCTTTCATCTTGAAAATAGGGCTGAAATTATAGTCCCGGGTCACCTAATAATGTGTTTTCAGAAGTACAGCATTGAGTTATTTGGTCTTTCAGTGTGTGAACATGATAGAATCTTCTTACAGGAAACTGGTGGCTCTGGTGTCATCAAGCAAGAGAATCTCTTGGATTTGTTTTTTGGGTTTTGCAGAAATGTCTTAACCATATAGCCTAGACTGGCCTGGAACTTAGTGTCTTCCTGCCACAGCCTCCCAAGTGCAGGAATTACAGGCCTATGCCACCGCCTCCCCGCTAGGTGATGGAATCTTAAGCGATCACCCTCATGTAGTAATGTGTCTTTGACAAAAACATGCAGAACTTGTCTGTGTTTTCTTTGCTTATCTTATAGGACTGTGAGACTTTATCTTCAAAACGCTTGATGAACTTGAAGTATTAAACCAACATGAGGGCTCATCCTTCTTGCTTGACTTCCCTGAGCTAAACAAGGCTCCATGTAACAACAGGTTGTTAGGGGAGTCAGCAGTGGGAAATGACCCAGCCCTGATCGTCATTCAGGAAACAGGCTAGTGATCAAAGTCTGCACAGTTCATCAGGTTTGATGGAAACATTAATTACATCAGTGAGTCACAGTGATACCTTGTCCTCTGACTTTGCATCATCCCTGGCTTCCCTGTGTTCTGTCTGTCCCATTATCCTTGAGGAGTAATGCAAAGCCTTGCTGTGGGCATGGTGCTCTGGTGCTGTAACCAGGATGGTATCATCTTTCACCAGCACAAGATTAATTTACCAATGAGACAGGCCTGCTCCCTACCACATGCTGAGTTGGGTAGCAGCTGCTGGGCGGTTTTCACACCTGCCAGTGGAAAATACACTTTCTTTGTGGGAAACAGATTCTGTTACTGCATACTGAAGGGGCTTAAAAAAGTTTATTAAATTATTTTAAAACAGACTCCTTTGTATTTTACAAGAAGTAACTGGAAATCTGTATGATAATAAGAACAGATATTGCTAAAAGAATAGGGATAAAATTTAAAAATACATAGTATTTTCAGAAAAGTTTATTGAAAAATATGTCACTGCATATCAGGTAGATTCAAGTTAAGTTTCACAAGCACAGCTCTGAGCGTTTGGTTGAGGTTTAACGCCTAACTCCCAGGTGGAAACTCGGGATCGGAACCGTTGAGCCTGGCTTCTGAGTGTGGTCTATCGTTTTTCAGCCCCTAGCAAGCGAAGGAAGCATTGATTAGACTTGATTTAAAGCCGCGAGTGATAAATGCAGCTAGGAAATTGATTCATGTCCCTCAAGTGACTGGGGCACAGCCGTCTCCCATTGACACAACTCCTGTCTCAAGGCTGGAAAACAAACAGGGAGGCAGGAGTCAGACATAAATGATTGTTGCTCTCAGCTCCTGGGGAAACCATTTGTTTCTGAGATAAGGAAAACTGCTCTCCAGTCATAAAAGACAAAGCCGGAGGAAGGGGGCTGTGGAATCTGATGCCTGGGAGCTTTGCAAATGCCAAGAGGAAAGAGGAAAGGATTCACCTCTTTAGGAGCTTGGTGCTGGGTGAAAGGCACTGGGTTTGCTGTCTCCAGACACGCTTTAAAGGGATCTCGGGCACACTGTTGTCTTTGAAGCCAGGTCTCCGCTGCTCTTGGTGTGCTCATTCAGGGGCAGTATCAGCAGGAACCACTGAGTGATCTTTATGGTCCTTCAACCAGGGCAGGCATCTGAAGTACTGAACCTCCTAGCCTAGAAGGCCTCCAGAAACTCATTCCCTGCTGCCCGGATCATGCTCCTATGGTTGCTGTGTTTGCATGTCTGCTGTGTGTCTCACTTCCGTTGTCTTCCCAGGTGCTTTCCCCTCTTGCTTCTGGAAGTTTGTAAGTTTCCAGCTCACCCCAGCTTCAAGACTCCTTCAAATGCCACTGCCCACAGGATGTTAGCTACTCATTCCTCTAGGCTGGAAGTAATTCCTCTCCTTGACCCTGAAGAACAGTTTCTGTCTCAGTACTTGCCACTTTCAGCTGGGACTCACAGCATAGAGCTGTGTACAGCTCCTTCAGTGCCGCAGAAACCGAAGGCACCTCTACTTTGGGTCCTTCCCAGCAATTACACAGTGCCTGTCCATACGATTCTTTCATGTGACACCTGTTGAAAGACTGGGTGGCTTCTGTGAGCGCTGGCCTCACACCCTGGCCGACTGCTAATTCTGCAGGTGTCCCTACCTCGAATCACAAC